AGTGTCAAACTACTAATGAATGTTCCATATAAATTTGCGTTAAATAAGATACACACTTTAGATTATGGTTAAGAGAGCATTTTTCACCTTAATCACCATTTTTTGCGGCAGACTTTTTTGTCGTTCGAGGTTATTGACACTGACAGAGAAGAAGATTTTAGTTTTGTTTAATACAGCAACACCCAATTTTAACTTTTTAAGTATGGACAAAAATACTAATATTTATTTTTGTAAATTTTAAAAAATAAATAAATTAAATCTCGAAAATCAAAATTTGGGCAAATATTTTGCAAAACTTTTTTTTTTTAAATTTTTTGTTGTATCAGAATAATTAAGATGTATAATCACCTTTAAAACGAACTTTTTTGTCATATACTATCCTAAAGTACAGCAAGTGAGATCAATGAGGATCGTTTAAAGTATAATAACATTAGGCCTCTCTTTAAAAGTATAGTGAATGATTTGTACATGAGAAGTATGGCGAAATATCTAAGAACCTCTGCAGGAAAAATTACGTTCTAAATAATAGTTAAGCATAATTTTTGGGGGCTTCTTCTTTATATCTCATATAAAAAAGATTCGGTAGAAAACAAGTAAGAAAGATTAAGTTCGGGCCCGGTGTCTTATCCGACTTTCACGAAAGGACTATAGTCAAGCTATATGTGATGTAGGCTTCTTTATGGATTAATGTAGGATTTTTTGACAATTTTCTGGAATAATCATATGTGTTAAAGAAGTAAGATCCTGTTTTTTGATAAATTCCTCAAAAAATACCAAAGATGATTTAAAAATAGAAGGACTGCTATATAAAAGGTAGGTTGATAACAGCCATTTTTGAGGGAGTTTAGTCCTCAAAAAGTTTGATTGATTTCTGTTTATTAATGCTTTAAATATTCGCCCTCGAGTCAAACAGGACGTGGACAGTAAAAATTCTGTTATATGGTACAAAGACGTAGTTGTTGCTCTATTGCGTTTCTATGCAATTCGTGTTCGTCATCATCATATTATCGAATTCTGCTCAGTGGTTTCAGCGATATACCTTTTGACTCAAAGTGAGTTGGTATCCCGAAATTTAAAATTTTTTTTCTTTTTAATACTATTGTATCTTCTCAAACAAAAATGCCTTTACTTGCATATTTAGTTAATGAATTATTGGTAATTTCATTATTTTAAAAACCACCACTACATGTGGAATGGGTTGATCAAATTTTACCCATTTACGATAGCTTCCGTAAATTTGAACCAAGTTTCGCCCAAATATCTTGAGTTAACGTGCAGATTTGTTTCGTCATCTCATTATGTTTGATATATGATTAAACAAAATGTTCTTAATTATTTTATGCCTGTTAATACAACCGTTAGTCGTACATAGTACAGAATAGAAAATAAAAAAATAGTAAATGATTGATATAAGCGCTTGAATAATTAATAAAAAGCTGTACATTTTTTTTTTAAAAAGGGGCAATTAAATTTTTGAGAAATTTTTAAAACCTAAAAATAACTTCTGTCGCGTTAAAAAGCCGTGTATAAATAATAATCAAAAATAGAGTACATCTAAAGCGACTTATTTTGCTTTGTAACTATTTTAAGGAATTTCCGCTCCAAACTCTTTATCTGCGCAATTGTAAAAATGTGATTAAAATGCTGCTGCTCGTAAATTATATATGATTTTACAATGCTCCAAACTACTTTGAATACATATTTATATGCATGTATGTAGGTATGTAAATCGATGACATTAATCAACCATTTACAAGGTCTTCCAAGTGTTATTGCTTAGAATGAAACAGAAGCATAATACAAACATACATATTTACTTCATATGCATCAATAAAACAGGCGACTTCCTTGTATGCAATAATGAAAGTCAATATGAGAAGTGGTAGCTAACTGAAAGCTGCCCTGTACGAAAATTTTGCACAAGCTAATACATACATATGGTTAAAAAAACAAAAACAAATACACTCTTCCACGGAAAAGCGAAATCTATTTATTTGAATATTTATCAGAAAACTTTTATAAACAATTGAGATATTTATTTCAAGACAAATGATATGTAATTAATATGTTTAAATAACAGTGAACGCATAATTACAAAGTAATTTTACTTTTCGCTATAAATAAATGTTGTTTTAAGATTACATATATGTATATACATACATGTATATGCTGTTTGTAAATACATATGTACATGTACAAATGTGGCAAAATAGCCACTTCAGTCATAAACAGTCAATTGCGAACTTTCAGTTATATACGAGTAGATACGTGTAGATATGTACTAGACTAAATAAACAACTGATTGATAGCGCAAATTAAAATGTAGTAATAACTGGATGTTACATTAATTGCGTAACGAAATAAAACTAAACCAATACATTTATATTGGTCTAGTAAAAAGTAGTCCATTATTTAGATGGCTCAAATGGGGACAATTTTGATTAACTTTGACGTAAACTGTTAAAGGTCAATTGTCGAGGATTTCGAAAAAATAATGGAAGCCGTAGAATCTGACCATCAAGCGAGCACTGTTTCGATTGCTGTCAGTAATTGAATCGTTTGAAGAAATCAACCCTAAAGCCACACATCGATAGTATTTCGCTTTAAGCGCCGAGAACTTGGTTGAGAGACTCTTGTGCATTTATCATATAGACTGGACCTCGAACCTAATGATTGCCATCCGTTCCTGTCTGTGGCGAATGTTTTGGCAGATGAAGAATTCAAGAGAAGCCATTTGAAACTCGATTGTCTCAGTTGTTATGTTCTAACGATGCATATTTGGCATAAATCCGATAATTCGAAGTATGTTATATAGTATGTTAAATAGTATGTTAAATATACTAGACCAAATATATGTACATTTGTATACCTAAATGTAAGTTTTCATAGTTAAAATACGCGTGTTTGTTATTAATAAAAATCCATTAAATGAATATGAAGGAAAAAACTAAATAAATTTTTAATTGTGTCTAAGTATTTTAAGCAACTTTGAACGCCTTCACGCAATACAGCCGATACAAGTTTTCCCTAGAATCAGCATGTGTGTATAGATAAAGTAAAAATTTACATTAAATCGTTAAAAACAGCAAAAAATATTTTTTCAAAACCAAACACGCAAAGGAAAATCAGTTAATCGCGTGTGTAGAAAATAATTTGCTACGTAATATATTTGCTTATTTAACTGTTGATCATGTCACAAATCAATGAAAAATATTTCGTAGAAATATTAAAAATTATATAAATGAAAAAGAAAAAAAAAAAAAAAGCAAAGAACAAAAGAATACTAAAAATGAAACAGATAAATAAAAACTCATCTATAAGAAAGTATACGAACACCCGCATAAATAAAATAGTATTTATGTATATACAATAATATACACGCATACAATAAAAATGTACATTTGTATGTACTCATTGATATGTGCCTCACACTCCTGCCATGTTAATTCACAAAAACTCAATTGACTTAAATTGAAACGCGTTACACACAAATTAATCAGACATTGAAATAATTTAATGAAGAACAAAAAATAAATACAAAAAAAAAAATAGTAAATAAATAAATGAATGTGCTGAGCATACAAAATAGGAAGCTGTCAGCTTAAGAGTATAAAAGCACCGCAATGTCAAAATGAAAATAAAAGAGATTAATAAAAAATTTCCCAAATTAAAAATGTATAAAAATAACTGCCGAAATTATTTATTTACAGACTTACTTTTGTTTGTGCATACACATACATACAATATGTACATATGTAGTAAAAACGACACAATTGTGAACATATTTTTTAGCAAACACGTGCCTTTAGCGCTCACAGAACTGTATGTCGCGCTGAAAAATATACTAAAATCCTATTTTAGTTAATAAAATGTTTTTTTTTTTAGATGGAATTTTTTTTTTGCATATTTTTATTGCAACTTTTCAAATGTTTAGGCATAAAACCTAAATTACCATATCATTTGCTACGCGCTGCTGTATTTATCAGACATTTTTAATATGAATATTCAACATTTTTCCAAAAAAAAGAGGATTCTGAAATAATCTATTACAAGCAGTATTCACAGTTTAGAAAATTTTCCTTGCCGAGTTGTTTCGTCGTAAATTCGTAAATAATTAATTATTTTTTTTTTTAGAAAAAGTTAAGTGAGGTAATAAAAATACAAAAAAATGTTTTATGAAAAAAAAATCTCTAATTTTAAGTTTTGAAGAAATATTTTTTGTATTTTTGCTTACTAAAACTGAAAATTGCTTAAATTATTATATGAATTCTGCTCAAAGTCAAGATTATTTTATGTGTCTAAGTTTAAATAAAAAAAAATCATAAAATTCCAAATAATGAAAATCAAGTGAATATGATCATAGTTAGTTGCATACTCGTAAATGTATATACACATATGTGTGTACATATAAAAACTGACGAAAACAAGGAAGTACATATGTTTCGATCACTTGTGATGTATTTATAAATTTTTAATTTGATTTGTTTCACTATTTGGCTTGTCAAGCGCCTGTCGTTTGGGACTTCTAAATAAACACACACATACATACTTTTACACAATACAATATTTACGCATAAATAAAAATTTATTTGGCTAAACGCGTACGCTTATACACATATATAAGCTTTTGCTAAAACTCTATTTCTCGCTCTCTCGTATTTTTTTTCACTAGTAAATCAATTTATTTAAGAATTTGCGAAAACTAATATAATAAAAAATAATAATATAAACAAAAGTGCACATACAAATGTGTACGTATATCTGTACACATTCCATTACCAGCTGTTTTGTCTATATTTAGGCTATCATGTTCGTTGACAAATTCAATGGATGTTAACTGCATTTGACGCTGATTTATTCTGTTATTATTGGCAGGTTCCTAAACTACTCAATATTTTTATTTTCTATGCTTTTTTTATGCAATAAAATAGCAAACTGAGTATTTGTATGTATGTAAATACATACGTGTATGTATTCTGTATAAATTTCAACACACTCACCTTCACTGGCTCATCGTTTTCGAAACCACCGTTGCTGAAACCTGTCATTTTGTCAGCCCAAGTAAATCACAAGCCTTTAAAATATATAAAACTTCGCTTTGAATGAGATAGTCTCTTCGCCCGCTTTCAAGTTGCACTCTTTTTATTTTAGCTCTCTTTAATTGCTGTTATCAATTAGTAGTAGTTCGGTAATTAAATGTGTAAATTAAAGCTGCAAAGAGAAATAAATATGCGAGAAAAATCTTAATTTTTTGATATTGTTTAATAACAAATATAAAATATAAATAATAGATTAAAATAAAATAATTATTATATTCAGTAATATTTATATAAGAAAATAATAAAATATTATTTTATTATCAATTAAACATTTTTTTACAAGGCTGCTTTTTAGCATGCTGAATTTATTTGAGGAAATTAAATTTGTGCGCACCAAACTACTCTTTACATAGCATTGTAGAAATATTATTTGAAACACAACCAACTATTTCGATAAATTTTTTACGATTGATTGATTTTTTTTTTAATTATCTGCTACTAATACTCCTCTTTGATACAATTTTTGTTTCTTCTTTTTTCAACATTATTAAACCCGTTTGCTATTTCCGCTAGACTTGCTACGTTTTTTTATAACTGGCAATATTCTTGCTGCTATTATCTTCTGCTACTAGTACTATTCTTTGTAACTACTTTATACTACTATTTACTAAAGTTGCATACTTTTTCCACTACGTATGCATTTTTTCTGCTATTTGTGTTATTTTCTTTTGTAAAATTTTTTTCTGTTCTTCTTTCGACTACCAATATTTTTTAAACTATCCTTCAATACCTCATAACTTTTGTAACTGTTTCAATTACTCCTAATAACTTGATACTATTCCTTCCTTTCCTTTCCTTTTTTGAAATTACTGTTTCTGTAATTTTCATTACTTTTAAAAAAGGGTTTTAAAAATGAGATATATTTTACCTGTTTTCTACTTCACTTTACTACTTAGCCTGCCAGTTTTCCTGCTACTAGCATTTTACTTTACAACTGCTTATCTGTGCTACTTTTTTCTGCTATTCTTTTCTACTGTTTTTCCGCAACTATCTTATACTACTATTTTCTACTACTATTTCTACTACTATTTTCTACTACTATTTTCTACTACTATTTTCTACTAATATTTTCTACTACTATTTTCCGGTACTATTTTCTGCTACTATTTTCTACTACCTTTTTATATTAATAATTTTTTCAACTTCTCTTTAATGCCGTATATATGTTGTAACTATCTCTACAAATACTGTCAATAGTACTTACTTTGTTAATTTTTTGTTTTATATTATTTATATCTTAATTCTTTGTGTACTTTAAATTTAAACTTTGCAAAATTTGTAGAAAATAAAATATATTTTTACTCTCTCCCATAATGTTCTACTTACGAACTTTTGATTTTACAACATTGCTAAATTGCGAATAAGTCGTATGTGCCACACGCTGCATTAAAACTCATAATACAATTTAATTTAATTTCAACTCATTACCCACGTTAATTGAAGATGAGAATCGCAAACTAGTTCGGGAAATGTACAAATTGTAATATATTCTTTTGTAAAAATAGCGTGTGCGTGCACATAATTGATTAGCTAGGTTTAAGGTCTTTTGTTATTAATTATGATTGTGTAAATAAATTCATTGGAGCTAATTGACTCTAAGTATTAGATTATATATATAATTAAATAAAATGTATAAAATATTGGAAAATAAAATAATTTTTTTCATAATTAAATAACGCGCTTCTCAGATATTGCAGTGTGTATGATTTTTTAAATTTTAAAATTTTTTGACGTAATTTCAATATTTTCTCCTTTGCTTGCAATACATTCACTTTGCTGTCATGTAACTGTATCATATATATGTTAATTATATACATATATCATACATTCAATATTTTCAAAAAGTATTTATTACGCACATATGTATTTCTATATGTATTACCAAATCATATTTTGCCAAAGAGGTGATTGAAAAAAAGCGTTTATAGTAAATGGAAACGAATTTATTTGTTTTGTTTAGCTGTAACTGCGGCTGTTTGTCTGCTTGCCGACTGTCGTTTGTCAATCGCAAATGCAGTCAAGCGTAAACTCGATGACTTGTGAATGGCGGGTACTGGCGCATCATACTCAGTAACTCTCAGCCACACATACATACATATGTATTGAGAACATTTATAAGTACATTGATTATTATAAGAAAACAAAAAGTCACACGTTAGAGACACATCCACACACATTCATAAACAACAGCATTATAATCCACAACTCAGCTGCAAGTGCTGAAGTTCAAGTTCATTTGTTCGATATTTATTTATTTATTTCTTTTTTTTTTCAAATTTTACTCACACAACGCGTTTCAGTTCCTGCATTTTCATCATCCGTAATACCTATTTATTGTATGTATGTAGTGTATATTTCTTTTATCGCATAATTCTGTTCCGCTGATTGTATCGTTTAATAATATTTATATATTTTTTGTTCGTTTGTTTAAGTTTTTACCGCAATTAGTTGCTAATAATTTGTTGACATCGTTATTGTTGTTTTGTTTTGTGTATGTGATTGTTTGTTTTTGTTTTGTATAACTCTATTGTATGTAATTCGCGGTGGAAAAAGCTTTTTGTTCATTTTTTGGTTCAATTTTTTTTTGCTAATTCAACCATTTTGGTGTTGCTGAGTGAAGCTGTTGCTCAATTTATGACAAATATTACTAATATATCGGCCTATTTGCCGAACATTTGGTGAATTAAACCAAAAATTATATCTTTAGACTCGTTAAACATTTTTAGTAAATAATTGCGGAGGTATTCTATATATGTATATATGTTCATGTTGCCCTAAACACGTATTTAAATAAAAACTAATTGCTTATCTTAAAATTAAATAGTTTCGCGTGCACTCTTTCTAAGTGAAAAGTAAACTTTAACACTATTCAAATAGGTATATACACTTGATTTTATTTGAAGTATTAGAAAAGCTTAGAACAATTTATTTATTTTAATTTAATTTAACTTCACTTAACTTGATTTGTTTATTTTTTAATAGTCTTTATTTAAATTAATTAATATATTATTTCGTTTAGCTTAATTTTATTCATATTTTCATATTTTATTTTACATATATAATTTTGTTTAATTTTGCTTCACTTTTTTTATTATTCGTTTTTATTCTATTTATTTTTGTTCATTTTACTGATTAAATTAATTTTATTGATTATGATTTAGTTAATAATTTTTACATTATTATTTTAGTTTACTTATTCATATATTTTATATTTTGTTTGTATTTATTTTAAATAAATATAAATAATATATATATATATTTATTTGATTTTATTTCTTAAAATTTATTAAACTTTTGCTATGCTTTCAATTTATTTTAGTTTTTTTTTTATTTTAGTTTTCTTAAATTAATTTAATTTATTTTCATTTTAAATTATTTTTATTCATTACAATTTTTATTATAGTATATTCTTTACGCTTATTTTATTGAAGTTAATTTAGTTTAACTCTATTACTTCTAATTTAATTTCATTATTGTTTCATTTCATTTTCATTTCATTCATTTTATTTACTTTTAATTTCATTTACATTTACTTTTATTTATCTTATTTTATTAAATTATTTTGTAAAGTTTTATTTTACTTCATTCTATTCATTTCAATACTTTTTAATTTATTATTTTAATACTCTATTGAAATATTTGTATTTATTTGATTTTTTCTTGCATTTTTATATTTTATTATAATTCATTTTAGTTGTTTTATATAATTTTATTTCATTATATTTTAGTTATTTCAAATTATTATTTTTTTATGTTTTCTTTTTACGTAATAATAAGCTAATTTATTAATATTTGATTCCAGAAAAATTCCGTTTGCTTATAAATATGTAGTTTAGTCCAAGAAATTCTCGTCTTCCATGAACATTAAACTTTATTACTATTGTATTCATCTAAATGAAAACATGATAATAAAAAATCTTAGCACGCATTTTTAGTATGATTTTATTACCTTTCTTTTAATTTTATTATCTTGGTGTTGAAATAATAGCAAAAAAGTATTTCAAGTAATTTTTCAAAGTTATAAAACGTCATTTTCCTTATATTCTTTTTCGGTAATATGAAAAGTTGAATAACAAAAATTATTAATGGCTACAAGCTATTAATATAATAAATAATCTTTAGTACAAAAGCAAGCCGACGGAAATATTTTAAACGAAAGTGTGAAGTTGCATAACTAACTATATGATGAAAAAAAAGCTATTTAACAAAGTAAATTACTTTAAGAGAGCTTTAACTTCTAAATGATTGTTTTAAATTATATTTGCGCTTTAAGTAGCACACTTTTTAATTGCATGCTTTATTTTTAAGAGGACTCTGCTGGGCGAACGGGTGACGAATGAATGAGGACTTGTGCTATTTTTGAAAAATAATAGCTTAAAAATAATGACAGTTAGCTGACCTAGAAAATAATTTAATTTAATTTGTAAGTAAATTAGCTTTTAAATATTAATGATTGGAAGATAGTAATTAAATCAATATTTAAATTTTCAGTGTATATTAAAAATTGAATTTTGTTCGGATATAATAATTGTAAAATTTTCCACACCGTTTTCGTTGTATTAAAACTTTTATTAGTTAAAAAAATAATATTAAAAAACTATTAAAAAAAAGAATATAAAACTGCAAAAAACCCTTATATGTTTTGTTATAAAAGCTCATAATTGAATCCCTTGCACGTGATTAATTGTGGTTTCGATAATCAATCACGCTGATTTTATGACTCGAAAAAATATGTAAATTCTAGCAACAATTGTTAAATATTGCAAACACCAAACAGATAATTTATAAAAACACTTTTCCAATCATTTTGTGGTCACTTGATTGGAAAAAAAAACTTTTTTCCTTACCTTCAATTCTTGTACACGTGTTGGCATCACTTTTATTTTAATTTCCAGATTTTTTTTTTAATATTGTACTTACAAATAATTATAAAAGCGTTAATGCGTGCCATCGCCAGGAAATTAATGCTAGTTAAATACTACACAATTGCAATTAATTTTTCCCAACTTCAACTCTCAACGCCAACCTAATCGAAGTCACATGTGATATTATATTTATATAAAAATTAAATAAATAAAAAAATTGCTAGATGCATGCTATTAGATAGAGTAG